AGATGGATAGAGGTAAGCCAATAATAACGACTTAGCAAATGTATACGAACTCACAAATATTATTAGTTGCAACGACCCATTATCATACTCTCGTCGATTCACGCGCTCAGGCTGCAGAGCACACCTGAACGATGCTTCAGTGATGTCTTCGTCATTACCCTTAAGTCAAATTTCTCCAACCTCGTCAACTCTCCCACTACTAGCTTTCTCGTTGAATATGCACACACTCAGTCACTGGAGTCATTTTTTGGTGATAGGTCTTCTAGTTACAGACTCATGGATGAGCAATTACTCGTACAGTCGAGAGATATACGTGCCGATGGAGGATTCGGAATAGTAATGATTGCCATTAACGTCCCCCAGTTCAGCCAGAGCCACACTCTTCCGTTCGCTTGTACGAAGGCTGTTATGCCAGAGTTGTCGTGTATGAAGTGGAACTCCCACTGGAAACAACACCTGATGGATACGGTCGCGTCAGGGCTAATTGGTCTCGCTCCCGACGTCTAGCATTTGGGTGAAAGGACTTTTCTTGACACTTTGCGAACATGGTGACCTCATATGTTTATGATTATTCTAATTTTTTTTTAACGGAGTATTTTAGAATTATCTTCGTCTCTAAGTTTCTTGTAGATTGTCAAAGACAGTCACGACAGAGAAATATCCGATTGTAAGCCAATAAAAGGTTTATGTTGCTCTGAACCAGGTCCTGTACCTTCAGCTACACCATCCTACTAGATACTGTTAACAACAACTCAGAATCTCTTGTAGTAGAGAGTTTCAGGACAAAGCTTATAGGAATACGTATATTTTCGAGTCGAATACACGCTACATTGTTATGCACAGAGAGCGAATAGCTAGCTACTGAAATATCTCCTTCATAGACTGCTATTCTAACAGGGTCCGTTCAGCATCTAATTGGCGAGCAGACGCTGCATAACTTTACGACCCACAAAGCACCCTTCTTTAACTCGTAGTGAGGATCGGAGCCCCCTGATTTTAACCTTTTCTGTGACTACCGTCTTCTAAGCTTGAATTCTGCGTAATATAACGGATATTTGCTCGCTCGATTTTACTACGACTGATTGGATGAGCCTACCCAAAAAAGCTAATTTGTATTGTGTGAGTAGATTGTTGTATCGATTGTTTTCATCAATATTGTCCAGAATATCGAGTTGACCAGAGATTAACCAGAGATCCTTTAGAGTAGGAATATCTGAATAGAATAGGGTAGAGCTGCGAGAATAATCAGTAAGAAGAAATTAAGTGTATAAAAGTAGCTGTAACTCACTTCAGTTAGATATAACTTGATTGAGGTATTACTACGATACCTAAAAGTCTTATATACTTGTAGAAATAATAAAATGAGTAATTATTTCAAGTAAATAAGAAAAAATGGTCCATGCGTCTACCAAGAAGTAAGTGTACACTTATTTCAACATCAGAATTCGTCGAATAATAAGTTCTTCTAGAAAGGAGACGGAGGTAGAGAAAAGAACCACGGAGTGGTGAAGCTTCGGGGCGGTTTGTATTTCCAACAAGGAATTATCAGGTCTAGGACTGGTATATCCATAAAGAATCAAAGCAATCCAGAAGCGCGGGGGAGATCATCAAAATTGCCAACAACCGTTACCGGAAGCTTTCCGCAAACAAGTAACAACAAGTTCTGTATGGACGCGCATGCTGTCTCCACACTTTGCTGAAACCAGTCTCTTTCTTTCAATCATGCGTTCATGCATCCTCTCAAATTCTGCCCAATAAACCCCATCAAATGTCTGGAAACGCTGAAATGTTTATTGTAACCGTCTGCCACCTCCGGTTGTTCGTTCCTTTACAAAATACTATCGACTCTTCTCCCACGTCGGCGCATCGAGTCGGACATATCATATCATGCTCATCAATAGATGTCATTTCGGAAGCAAGATTGCCATTGGCGGGACACATATTTCTCCCATCGGCATCATCGATATCAGCACTATATCGCCGCTTGATGCATTTATCTTTGAGTATGCACGGTGCCAACACGATGCTCACTTTCGAAGGTGCTCACCTTCTACTTGCATTGGTTGATCATCGCGGATATTCAGCGCATACAGACAGTCTTCTTAGCCTCCGAGGACGTCGATTCGCATACAAAACTCCCGCAGTGAGCAAACTACTCGGAATCAGAGAACACCTCCCCAAAATCATGACAAGGACAGGCAGCTTCTTCCGCTATTTCTATGAACGGGACATTTCGTTTCCTATAATTGTACAGGGCCATGATGTTAGATCCTCGTTTTGCTAATGTCCTCCGTCTGCGCTGATCTATGAAAGTGTCAACATGCGTCATCCATTTATACGTGTGCCGCTGTCGAGCTTTGGTACCTGGCCACGCATATTGTCCGTCTTATTCTCGTTATCGGGCTACTTCACAGCAGTTCTGATATGCGAATACGGCGATTCTCTCCTACGCGGTGATTCCGTCGTACCTGACGCTCTGGAAGGGCTGATGATGGGCATGGGAGACGTGCCTTGCCATATATTTGTCTACGCAGTATATAAGAGCGCATTTGAAGGAGGGGATTGAAGCGAGGAACGTGGAATGTTGGATAAGATGTCGCCGCTCTTTTTGTCTTCGTTGGCTGTCGTGAGCTTACTACCCGTGAGCTCTTTGGCTGATCAACTGCAGCCGTGTCCCCTAACTGTTGGATACAGACTGTCCTTTCTCAATCTGTCCCTTCTCTCTTGCCGGGCAACTGGTCGTCTATAGGATGCTTTACGTAAGTAGGTCTCTGTTGTCTTCAAATACTGACTCATGGCAGGTCATATCTAGCGATGTTTCCACTTCCCGAACCCTCGCTGCAGCCTTCAAAAGCTCTGATAACATGACTGTCGAGTCGTGTATCGCGTTTTGCGACGGAGCAGGATACATATTTTCTGGTACTGAGTTTGCTCGTACGTTCAAAAATTATTCTTCTTTCAAGGATACTCATGTATTATGCCAGGTGTGAGTAGTCACGGAACATTTTCAAAATTTATGAATGTTTAGCTCTTTGTCTGTTTCTGGCATGTAGGAATGCTGTACGTAACTTTCTGCACTAGTCTGCATAAGCATTTCTCAGCTGTATTCATAGATTGTGACTCTACAATTCAAGTTCCAAGTCAACCTGCTGCCCTTAGCGACTGTAATGTCGCGTGTGATGGGAATTCTGCAGAAACTTGTGGTGCTTCAAACAGGATGAACATCTTCACCAACGGTAAACCAGGACCTGTCATCCCTCAAACTCTCGCAAGTGGAACCTGGTCATACCAAGGATGTTTTACGTGAGCTCAGTAAACCGCTTCGTGACGATTATCGCTTAACTACGCTCCCGTTAATGCAGCGACATCGTCAGCGGAAGAACCCTAGGCGTACCAGTCAATATTCCGGGAGGCGTCACCGTTGAGTCGTGTACTGCTGCCTGTCAGTCTCTTGGAGCATTCGCAAACGCTGGAGTGGAAAATGGTCGTGAATGCTGTACGTCTTCCATTCTAATTTCATCCAACTTTTTTCTCACCATATCTTACAGGGTGCGACAACACCGTGCGCGCAGCCGCTCAACGTGTCTCCGACAACGACTGCCGCCAGATCTGCGACTCCAACCATAACGAATATTGCGGAAACGCCAATCGTATTGCTGTCTATCACTTCTCAGCGTCTGGCCAACCCCAGGCTCCGCCTCAGTGTTTGAACAACGATATAGGCAACTTCACAATGAAGGCCGTATACAAGGATGGCGTTACACCCAGCGTGAAGCTGAAGGTGGTGGTAGCGGAGATGGTGAGGGGTGCAACCTGGACTGTGCTTTCGGTACGTTTAGGACTCTCCTTCTACTAAGAACTTGATTCTTATATGTCTTTGTGAATAGGCCTGTCCGAACTGCTGCTCAGAATGGCCATCCTTCTCTTTACAAAACTCCATCGTCTTCCCGCGGTCCATTGTCGTTCCAACCCAATTAATGTCTTCTACTGCTCCTGGCGATGGCGAATCGCCCAACTTTGTCGCTTCAAACCCTGCTTTCCCAGGATTCCAGGCGTACTGTACTATGGTTCGTAATCCGCATGTGCTTCCGTGTCATAATAGACTAATGTAGTATCTATCGTATAGAATGACCCTTCTGCAGTTGCGGGTGGTCCATCTCTCCTCGCATTCGGTGGGAAACCGGACGCCTTCTCTCTTTGCCAGAATCAAACTGCGGATGGCCGTCTGGATGTGGTTCTCTCCCCTGTGACCGGGCATCCTCACTACTCTTTGGATCAGTGCAGCCCAGTCAATATTCAAGTCTTGGTTTGAAGTACGCAAGGAACAAAAGGCCTCTTTCGACGAGGTCGTGTAGATTTTTTCTGTTAGAGAGTGATTGTGAACTAATTACCATGTATACCCTGTTTTTACTTCCTGTATCAAATATGGCTAATTTTGTCTACAAGTCTTTCCTGTGCCTTATATTCAGGATGACCCTTAACTGTTGACTGTTGAATACCCATTTTAAGGACCTATATAAAATACCAACCTGATGTTCAACCAGTAAGCTCGATCTTCGCAATCGAGTGAATACTTACGTTTACAAGGTCCATAAAGTAGCTTGACAATTGGAATGTGCAGTAAATAGAGTTCAGTCTGTCACCCAATAAGTTAATGACAGGAAGTATAATGCATCGTGCTATTTATCGTGAGATAAAGCATGCCTCGATCACCGGGCTAGACTTATGCGACCTGCTGGCGGCCTCTTCTGCACTTATTTGAAGTCATTGTGGCCCATAAGGTAGTATTAAGTCTTCAAATTCAGCAGGCGCTTACAACAGCTCATTGTTTCTTGCGGTACTCCTGGAGGTGGCTGGTATGATAACCGTTCGTGCATCACATTCCTTATGTCATAGAAATTTTCATTCTCGTCGGTAACTTGTCTAATTTCGTACGAAGTAGGATAAAATAAATGATACAGCAAAGTTGTCAAATATAGAAACGATCAAGGGTTGATAACTCTTTGTTAGTATATCGGTTAGTACACGCGCTTGTCATCATACATATCAGGTGCGCGCGAAAGCTGGGTTCGACTCCCAGACAGAGAGCTCTTTTTTCTTCCATTCTTTCAATCTTAACTATTTTACCGAGAGTCTTCAAGCTGGACCGTTGGAGTAGATAAGTTGCAACCGCTTTTTTGTCCCTCATTTATCAGATCCATAAACACTTGGGTGAGCATTTCGTCCTTTTTGTATTATTTAATACGAGGTGGATTGAAGGAGTTGTCATACTAGAAAGTACATAGAATAATGAAAAGAAAGGATGTCAACATTTTGGTAAGAAGATAAATAAGAAATCTCTTATAACTCTTTGTTAGTGTATCGGTTAGTACACGCGCTTGTCATACAAATGCTTCCCTCTGTAAGTGTTGCGCGCGAAAACTGGGTTCGACTCCCAGACAGAGAGCTCTTTTTTCTTCCATTCTTTCAATCTTAACTATTTTACCGAGAGTCTTCAAGCTGGACCGTTGGAGTAGATAAGTTGCAACCGCTTTTTTGTCCCTCATTTATCAGATCCATAAACACTTGGGTGAGCATTTCGTCCTTTTTGTATTATTTAATACGAGGTGGATTGAAGGAGTTGTCATACTAGAAAGTACATAGAATAATGAAAAGAAAGGATGTCAACATTTTATAAGAAGACCGATAAGAACTCACTTACAACTCTTTGTTAGTATATCGGTTAGTACACGCGCTTGTCATATAATCATCAATAAGAGCGTTGCGCGCGAAAGCTGGGTTCGACTCCCAGACAGAGAGTATTCTTTTTTCGGACAGTCATATTATAATATGGCAGTATTATATGCGCCATGGCCGCAAACTCCGTGGTTCGCGTAAACGTGAACCCTGGCCGGACCCGACCCTACATCATATCTACAGCATAGACGTTAAATAAGGTAACTAATAGCCCTGTCTAATCTTCGTTATAGTGGTTGCGTTTCCATTTCTCGCTTCAAGTAGTATATCAATTCTTGATACAGATATGCCGTACGTAGTATTTCTGAATCAATTGGTTCTCCAAAGCTATTAATTTTCCGTCGTCAGTAATCCGTATGATTAAAAGGTTTTCAAAAATGGGATATGATATAAAATAAGAGTATTTATTAAAGTCCGTGCACCTGTCCTTCAAGTTCATATGAGCACATCTCTCGAAACGCTGTCGTCCATTCCGCATTCCGCCAAGCATCCGTTTCCCGCCAAGTGCTGTAGCATTTGAAAATTTCCTCAGCTTCCAATTCGAACTCCATGTCTAACCTCTCTTCAACGCGTTATCCAACTACCGCGCCCGTATCTCGTTTTCGTCCCTGCCACCAGAACTGACAACAAAGCTAGTATCCACCGCACAGTGCTCATAGCGTCTTCGCCACGCATAAAGGCATGAGCCCTCGGACGCGCATAATCACCGCTATAAGCTTCTCTGTGGTCGAGGAAGGTGGTAATACGCCTGCTGACAGGGCTAAATCGGGTTCCGTCCGCTCATGACCACCAATCGGCTTTGAGGCCACAGGAGTCTTGAGCGGCTACTCGTTGTGGCGGCATTTGTTGGAGTAAACTTGATCCGTCGAGATCTAAGCGAATCTAAGCGCTTCCCCCGCTGTGAGCACGCGTACCCCGCATTTCCCCGCCCGACTGGAATGGGAGGAGCTCCGATATGGTACAAGATAGCACAATCACCCTCTCTTCCTGCTTCCTCTTAGATACCTCCTTCACTACTACTACCGCCATTATACCCCTACGCAATCGATGCCTTCGCTGAACGGCAACGCACCTGTCACCAAGTTCAACAACAAGCCACAAGGAAAGACCTTCGCTGGCCAGGACAAGATCCCCAAACTCCCCATCCCGCCGCTTGAGGAGACATGCAAGCGCTACCTCAGAGCACTCGAAGGCCTTCAGGATAAGAAGGAACACGAGCAGACACAGAAGGCTGTGAATGAGTTCTTGCAGACCGATGGTCCGAAGATACATGCAAAGCTGCTCGAGTGGGCCAAGGATAAAGATAGGTGCGCTGAGTGCCTTGAGGTATTTGGGGAAATAGACTCATTCGAAGTTCAGCTACATCGAAGAATTCTGGTACGAGTCGTACCTATCACACAGCGATCCCGTCGTTCTTGCCCTTAACCCATTCTTTGTGCTTGAGTGAGTGTTCCTGCTGCTTCTCCGGCCCGATCCTCTCGATCGTACTGGACTATAGACCTTCGTCTTCTATCGTGTCAATCACTAACGCTTGTTTTCAGAAATGACCCGACGCCCGACCGCGGTGCCCAGCTTCCCCGAGCATCGTCATTGATTGTGTCCTCTCTCGGCTTCATCCATGACCTTCGCGCTGGTATCCTCGAGCCGGATAACATCCGTGGCGTCCCTCTGGATATGGACCAGTACTCCAGGCTGTTTGGATCGTCCAGGATACCCACTGATGTGTGTTTGATTTAGCAACTTACGCGTTCACGTTACTAATATATCTATATAGCGCGGATGCAGGATGGACGTGCACCCCGATTCAAAGCACATCGTCGTACTAAGAAGAGGCCAATTCTACTGGTTCGACGTGCTCGACGACGACAACCTTCCCGTTCTCACAGAGCGCGAAGTCCTGCGCAACCTCCAAGCCATCATCTCCGACGCCGACAAAACCGACCGCTCAGAGGTAGCCCGTTCCGCCATCGGCGTGCTCTCTACCGAGAACCGAAAAGTCTGGTCATCCCTTCGCCGCTTACTCTACTCCGACCGCTCGAATGCCGCATGCCTCGAGATCGTCGACAACGCCTTGTTCATCGTGTGTCTTGATGATACCGCACCTGCAGACCTCGCCGATCTGTGCAACAACTTTTTGTGTGGGACGTATAGCCTCCAGGGAGGAGAGCAGGTTGGGACGTGTGTAAATAGGTGGTATGATAAGCTGCAGATTATCGTGTGTGCAGATGGGGCAGCGGGGATCAACTTTGAGCATACAGGTGTGGATGGTCATACAGTGTTGAGGTTCGCTGCGGATATATTCACTGAGGGATTAATGTTACTCGCCAAATCGATCAACCCGTCTGCACCGACGCTCTTCCATGCACCTTTATCGCCATACGCAAAGGCATACAAACCTCCCCGTGGTCAAAGTGCGTCTTTTCATCCTCTACCTCTCCATCTTATCCCAACCTCTCCGAACAGAACCACCCACCCCACCCCTCGAGCGCGTCGATACCACTCCCAAGAAACTCGAATGGAAGCTCTCCCCCGAGCTACGCGCCGGCGTGCGTTTCGCCGAGACCCGTATTAGTGACTTGATCTGCCAGAACGACTGCCAGGCCCTCGAATTCAAAGGATACGGCAAGAACTTCATCACGAGCCATGGGTTCAGTCCCGATGCCTTCGTACAGATGGCTTTCCAGGCCGCGTATTTTGGGCTGTATGGTGTGTTTTTGTTCTCTGTTTGTGAAAGGGGTAGGTGCTGATGGGTGAGGAATAGGACGTATTGAGTGCGTTTATGAACCGGCGATGACGAAGGCGTTCTTACATGGACGAACGGAGGCGATTCGATCGATACAGCCGGAGAGTGTGGACTTCACCAAGGTAAGCCTTTTTCTGCTTCGTGATATGGAGTGAATACCAACTATCACCTGCTGGAATAGACTTTCTACTCTGAAGCCACACCATCACAGAAAGTCGCAGCACTCAGGAAAGCCTGCGAGAGGCACGTCAAACTGACGAAGGAGTGTAGCCAGGGTTTGGGCCAGGATCGGTATGAGTTCATTTCGTCCTCCATTCACTGTATTCCAACCTCCTCCCTCGCAGTCATCTCTATGCCCTCTACTGCCTCCTCCAGCGTGAGATCCAAGGAGACCTCAACCCCTCCCCAGATGAACCTGCCTCTGAGGCTCCAGCAACCAAGATGCCTGCCATCTTTACCGATCCAGGATACGCAACACTGAGCACCTCCATCCTCAGCACGTCGAATTGCGGTAATCCCGCCCTGCGTCTATTTGGATTCGGACCTGTCGCGGCGGATGGTTATGGTATTGGGTATATCATCAAGGAAGATGGGATCTCAGTGTACGTCCTTGGATGATGTATGTTTTTTTGAGTAGTCAAGCTGATATATGCGTACCATTGCACAGATGCGCGTCCTCGAAGCACTTGCAGACCCGCCGCTTCCTCGACACGCTACAAGGCTACCTGTACGATATTCAGAGGCTGCTCATCCAGCTGCACAGGTCCGCAAATGAGCGGCCTGCACCTTTTGTAGACCATTTGGGTATTTTGCGTGATACTAAGACCGGTCGGCCGATTCATGGGTATATGTCAGATTCGGGTGGGGATGATGATGAGGAGATTCCAATGCGTGAGTTCTTTTCTTCATTCCTTTGAAGCTTGCAAGATATTGATGTTTTGTGACAGCCGGATACTCGTTCTTCGACAGTGGGGAGGTCGAGCTGCTTGGAAGGAGGAAGAAGTCGCCGTATAGTGATATCGGTACGTCTATGCCCCAACTCCTTTGCGCGGTGACTTTTGCTGATCGTCTTCGTTACAACAGGGAAAGTGATCCCGCTGGCGGAATACTAGATCTCTGGATGAAGCACCCTATATTACATGGATCTAGAACGTGGATATACTTGCCTAGTTAGTTGCTTTCAGAGGGGTGGATGGACCAACCAAAGAGAAAAGAAGGAAGAAGTTATACCAATAATACCCCCCTGTATTTAGTACTTGGTTCATGTATCTTATATCTTGCGCTTTTATCATTTTTCATGTTATTCTTATGGTGGATAATATGTATTCAAAGCTGTTTGACGGTATAAATTCTATCGACATATAATAAATTAACTAATAGAGTCCCTAATAAGTATACCCTTTTCACGCTTAAATTCACTTTCTATGGTGTTGTGCGTGGACCATGCCCGGCATCTGTGTGATAAAAGTTGTCGTGCTTGATTGTCCGCGACTGTACTTTAGCGCGAATCAGCCATGAGGCTCTATAGGAATTCGGCACAGATCTGCAAATGCGATGAAGCAGAAAGAAAAGCGCTCAACACTAGTTTTATCGTTGGTCTGTACGCCCTTGATGCCCTGAGGGTACAATGCAGCCATCCGTGGATGAACTAGCGAACACATCCCTGCCTTCAACCAGTTCACCCCAATCCACTTCAACTCATCGCCCACAAAATATCCTTCGTTTCACATCCGAACCATTGTTTTCGTAGCCCATTTTTTGTATATTTCTTACATTCAACTTCGCAAAATGCCTAGGATCCGAGCATTGGCCTCACTACGTTTGAATATTCGACAACCAGATGAGTGCCTTGCAGCCTACGCTGGAGGCTGCCCATTATATTTTCTCCTAAAATTGTGCAAGAAAATAGCATCGAATGAGGTAATCTATTGTATATTGTATATTAGTCGGTAGACAAGACACTATTCTTGCGCACTATCAGCTTTTTGAATGTAGAAACAATGCATGGGGTCATAATTTACATACACACTTTTATGTCTCAAGGACCGCCAGAACACTGTATTATGAACCTAAATTTCAGCTCTCAGCGGTTAATTCTCATTACACAAAGTCAAGTTCTATAAATAGATAATCTATCTATAGCATTTCTCTATGCTTCTACCAAATTGATCTACCACCTTTTCAATAAGCTTCGCCTTCTCGCTACACACACAGTAAGACGCGTACACACCTACCCTATTTTAATCCAATTTGAAATCATCTATATGTTCTAGTCGCGACCTCTTCGTGTTCTCTGTCTGCCGACATTGACAGACATTAC